TGGTTGTTGTCTTTGGGGATTATGATCAATATAGAGCCTCCATGTTTATCAGACAAAGACCCATGTATTAGAACTTTTCCAGCTCTCCTACACTACCTTGAACAGGTTGGTATAACTGTCACCCTTACAGTTCTCTAACACCCCCCCACCCCCCTGTCCTGGGGATCCAATCTGATTGCATACTAAGAAACTCTCTTTATTTTTAAAGATTTGTGTGCTTGCCTATTTAAACTGATAGTACTCCAAGGTCAGATCTGGAATTTGTCAACTGCTTATGCCAATCATCTAGTTGAGCACTAAGGCTCCTGTGAAGAATTAAAAAAAAAAAAAAGTGGTTATCCCTCCTCATCATTGGCAAAGGGGCTGAAGACATCTTTCAGTCTCTCTCCCCACAAAAGCAGATCCTGGAAGCATGTTTCCAGGGTCCTGGGTCCCCTAACTAGAACATAGCCCTAGCCAGGGCCCCACCAGGATGGAAAAAGGATTTATTTCTTCAGCCTCTTTCTGGGCTTAGCTTTTGCAGGGTTGTCAGCCTGTCCCCAGTCTTTCTAGCAGCTTCTTTCTTTGTGTCTCTGTCTTTGTCTCTGCCTGTTTTCACTGACTGCTGTCCTTTGTTTCTCTGACTCTGGGTCTGATTCCCTCCACGCTGCTTGCTTCTTTTTCTTATGGCTCCTAAGACTGCTTCAATGCCTTTATAGCTATCTCTTATATCTTTCTACATCTCTTGTTTCTGATGGCAAATCTTTTGCCCCTGTATTTTTGATCAGCCGAGCCCTTTTTGATTCAGGGCTTTTACATTAAGACTGTGTGAATCTGGTTCAGGGTCTATTTGGGAGCTGCAGGTCTGATTGCATCTGCCCCCTCTCCCTAGCAGCATTTACCAGACGTTCCCCTCTAGTCCCTGCTCCTGCCTCGGTCTCCCCTAGCCCAGCCCCCACCGCGGTACTCGGCCTCTCGGACCAGCCGGGCTTTGTTTCCCGTGTCTCAGGGCCCCGCCCCGCCCCGTCTGGGGTCTCCGCCGCCCTTTGTCTGCCTTGGTCTCTCCCCCAATCCTTTCCCTGGGTCCGTCTCCGGATTCCTCTTTCTTTGTCTCTCCCAGGCTAGGGTGGCTGGCGCTGCCCGCCAGCCCCCGAGGTCTGCGCCGGTGGCCAGAGACACAGCGACATTTAGGAAGAGTCTTCAGCCCTTATCACCCAGCTGCAGCCCAGGAGGCACACGGTTAATACCACCGAGTTCGGGCCACTATCTTCGGCTTAGAGTAGCCCACCAGGCTGCACGCAGCCACCCGCGGGCCACAGAGCTCCCGCCAACACCGGCATCCCTAACTGGCGTGCAGCTCCTCCCAGATCCTAGAGCGGCTCTGTACGCCCCAGCGCTTCCGCTTCCCGTCCCCGCCCCCGGCGGCCGCCCCCGGGACGCCTGGGACCGGGCCCCCTCCCGTGTTGGCGCGGATCCCGCATCTCGGAGCCGCCGGTAGCTCGGGTACCCGCACCCTGCAGAGGAACTTGGGAGGGCACCGGGTGGCTGAGCTGGAGGCGGCTGACGAGGTGAGAGGGACGGCTGTGTGCTGGGAGGAGGAGCAGCAGGTGCAGGGGTGGCCGGTGGCGCCGGCGGGAGTTACCGGGAACCGCGCCCGGTGTCGGGTGCCCGCGCCGGCCGACAGAGGGCAGCGGCAAGGTCCGCGGACCGCACATGGTTGTGGTGACCACAGGATTATGTGTCTGTCCCCTTGCCCAGGGCGGCGTACTGGCGATGGAACGCGCCGTAGAACCCTGGGGTTCGGATCTCCGTGGCCCAGAGGAGAGGGAGCGGTTAAGAAGCGCCCGCACAGGTGAGAGTCGCGGCCGTGCGCTGCACAGACAGGTAATAGCTGGGTGGGGACTCCAGTGCTGGGCTCTGCCCCACCGAGAAAAATTGGACGTAAGCTGTGTCTCCAAGGAGAGAGGGGGAGGGGAGCAAAAACCAAAGGAAGGAGCCAACGTTTCTGAGTACCTACTGTGTGCCAGGCCTTTATGGGCATCTTCTCAAGGACTCCTCCCCTCCCCCACGGTCTTCACCTCTGCCCTTTTCTCTCCAGTGATGCACTCTGCAGGCAAATTGATCCAATTCCAGTTCTAATCCTGTCTTTCTACTCAAAAACCTTCCTAGCTCCCCCCTGGCTACTAATTAAAGCCTTATACTTAGCCTAGCGTTCAATCCAAATCTTGCATGCTCAAACTAGTCCCAACAACCGTTTCTAGCTTTATCTTCCATTCCTCTCCACGATTTTCTCTTTGCTGTGAATGCCATTCTCTGTCTCCTTGTTTCTTCTGCTGTGACATCGCACAGCAATTGTAGAAGCCCTATAATTGTTCTGAACCCACAGTTATAATTACTGATACTTTATCTCTCCCACCACCCCTAAGCATCTTGAGAGATGTATGTGAGAAGACACAGGAAGACTGAAGTAATAAATTACAGTATAGGCTAATATAACAAAGTACAATAGAAAGAGCATATACCAAGTTTTCCATATAAAGGCAATAAAACATGGTTGGGTTCAGACAGATCTGTGTTAAAAACTGGCTTGGCTACTTTCTAACTTAGAACAAATCACTTATATTCTCTGCATTTCCATGATTGTAAAATGGGGATAGTAACATAATAGTATTACCTTCTAGGATTGTTTGCAAGGATACAGTATTACTTAGTTATATATATTTGCATATAGTTAAATATATTGACATATATTTAGGACATAGTAAAAGGAAGTCATTACCATTGTTATTGAAAGGCACAGACAATAAGTGCTTCAAAAGTTCAGAGGAGAAAGAGATCCATTGTCAAGGAAGTCTTCCTGGAGAGGTGGTGGGGTGTGTAGCTCAGTGCTGTAGAAGGATTGCTGAAGGCCCTGGGTTTCATTCCCAGCACTCCCCCCTCCCCGCACCACACACCAAAGAGGCTAAGTCAAAAGGTGAGAGCTACAATTCCTTTTTCTTTTCCTAGGTCTAGGGAGTGAGAATGTGGTGATTTCTCAGTCAGATGTGTTTGAACACACCCCACCAGAGGAGGATGACTTGGGGTTCAAGGAAGAAGAAGATTTGGCCTCAGGTCATGAAGTAGGAAATGATTCTCTCAAACCTGAAGGTATCCAGACCTGGGATGACTTATGGGTTCAGAGAGAGGGACTAGGAAAGCCTCAGCCTCGGAATCGAGGCCCCCGGGTCCTGGGAGAACCACGCTGGGGCCAGGCTAGTAGTGATCGAACTGCGGTGTGCGGTGAGTGTGGCAAGAGCTTCCGGCAGATGTCAGATCTGGTAAAACACCAGCGGACTCACACAGGGGAGAAACCTTACAAGTGCGGGGTCTGTGGCAAGGGCTTTGGAGATAGCTCAGCCCGCATTAAACACCAGCGAACTCACAGTGGTGAGAAACCCTATAGGGCCCGGCCACCAGCCCAGGGTCCCCCAAAGATTCCCCGGCCTCGGATACCTGCTGGTGAGCGCCCCACTATCTGTGGTGAATGTGGCAAGAGTTTCCGGCAGAGTTCTGATCTGGTGAAACACCAGCGAACGCACACTGGTGAGAAGCCCTACAAGTGTGCCATCTGTGGCAAGGGCTTTGGTGACAGTTCTGCCCGCATAAAGCACCAGCGGACACACCGCGGGGAGCAAGCCCCCCGGCCAGTGGTGCCCCGCCGGCAGCCATCTCGAGCAGCCACAACAACTGCACAGGGACCCAAGGCCCAGGACAAGCCATATATTTGCACTGATTGTGGCAAACGGTTTGTTCTAAGTTGCAGCCTCCTGAGCCACCAACGCAGTCACCTGGGTCCCAAACCCTTTGGCTGTGATGTGTGCGGAAAGGAGTTTGCCCGGGGCTCCGATCTGGTGAAACACCTGCGGGTGCACACAGGAGAGAAGCCCTACTTGTGCCCTGAATGTGGCAAGGGCTTTGCTGACAGCTCTGCCCGGGTTAAGCACCTCCGCACACACAGTGGCGAGAGACCTCATGCCTGCCCAGAATGTGACCGCACCTTCAGCCTCAGTTCCACACTTCTTCGCCACCGCCTCACTCACATGGAGCCCCAGGACTTCAGCTTTCCTGCTTACCCTGTAGCCCCTTTGATCCCCAGCCCACCTCCACCTCCTCTTGGCACCAGCCCCCCACTGACACCTCGAAGCCCTTCACACCCTGGCGATGGGCCTTTTGGCCTGCCTGGCTTGGAGTCTGAGCCTGGAGGCCCACAGGCTGGGGAGCCACCCCCACCACTGGCTGGTGACAAGCCTCACAAATGTCCCGAGTGTGGCAAGGGCTTCCGCCGAAGCTCTGACCTGGTGAAACACCATCGAGTACACACTGGGGAGAAACCCTACCTCTGTCCTGAATGCGGCAAGGGTTTTGCTGACAGCTCGGCCAGAGTCAAGCACCTCCGAACCCACCGTGGTGAACGTGCCCGGCCACCACCACCATCTACTCTCCTACGGCCACATAACCCACCTGGCCCAGCACCCACGGCTCCTCGACCTCGAGTCCGGGCCCAGCCCTCTGGACCCAGCCAGCCCCACGTGTGTGGCTTCTGTGGGAAGGAATTCCCCCGGAGCTCAGATCTGGTCAAACATAGGCGCACACATACTGGGGAGAAGCCATACAAGTGTGCAGAGTGTGGCAAGGGTTTTGGTGACAGTTCTGCCCGTATCAAGCACCAGCGAGGGCACCTGGTTCTGAGGCCCTTTGGGATAGGGGATGGTCGGGCAAGGCCTCTCAAAGAGGAACCACCAGTGGGACTAGAATGATAGGGTCCAGGGAAGGTGGAAGCCCAGGAAACCAAAGGGAGGGTTATCTGCTGCTGAAGCAGAGTAGAAAGGGCCTGGGAGGTGGTGGGAGGGAAACGAAGGGGAAGAAATGGGAGAAAGGAATGAATAGATAGAAATTGGAGACCATAACATTGATGCTCAGGAAACTGTCCTGGCTTGGTGTTAGGACCTTGCCAGTATGGGCTACACCCTCAAATTCTAGAACACTGCCTAGCACGCAGTAAGCACTCAGTAAATACTAATTTGAAATTTAGAAACTGGCCTTAGCCTGAAAACTCTTTAAAGAACTCCAAATTCCTGCTGCTTGACTGATAAGAACTACTCCTCCCAAACTTGCCGTGGGAGACCAACACCCTGAATCAGTTTGTTTGACCCTATGAGGTGCAGCAAAGGGAAATCTGGAATTTATGGTGTCAAATGAGGCAGGGCATCTTGATCATCATGATGGGGACAGTATTGCTGTATGGTAGGTAGATCAACTCCTAACCTTGGGTCACTGGACATGGTCTTAGCCAGGAAGAGCACTCTTGGATAGAACCTAGATCTATGTCCCTTGAGGACCTGGACCCACCCTGACACCTGGTCACTGGTGAAATAGCAGGAGGAATGTTCATGGCATCCAGCCTGAATGCTACATCTGGGTTCTGGTGGCCATCAGCAGAAACCAGCTGATTGGGCAAGGGCAGGACTAGAGAGAGGAGAAGCCCCAGAGGCTAGGGATGCTGCAAGGCCTGACAGCCACATTTTCATGTGTCTCCTTACTAATAAACTGTTTCTTGTCTGAGGCTTGGACTCTGTAGGGGTGTGTGGTTGTGTATACACGTGTACGTACATGCAGGACAAGGGTTGAAAGAGTATAAATGTGACACCACAGGCAAAGCCCTCAAAGGATTTGTAAACTTGTGCAGGTCCCTTGTGCTCTTTGTCCCATTAAATAGGTTATCCTGGCAGGGTCAGCCACTTTCTGCCTTTCACAGTGGGTTTTAAAAGGGCTACCAGATTCAGATTCGTCAACAAATGCCAGAGGCCTAAGGTCTAACAGCCCATAGGCACCAGCCTGGAATATGATATTTAAAAGGAAAATTGTGCGACGCTGAGGGAGGGAGGGAGGGCAAGCTACGGGGAATAGGTGAGAAGTGGCTGTTAGCTTGCCTAAGTGTTGCAGACCCATGTAGCCCAGAAAGTCCCAACACAGATGCACGACCTATGGGGACACTGGGAAACTCTGCTTCCCTGGGGCCCTTTTATGTATCAAGAAACATCATTTGGTTGCAAAGTCCAAAGGGAGGGTTAAACAGGTTGCTTTCTAATCCCTTGCAAAGGACAACCGAATTTACCAGCACCCATCACATCCTCAGGAGCAGGGCTCCGATTCCTGACTTGTTCCAAGGAGAACGCCAATAGGGAGGAAGGAAATAGAGGAACTCCCCTGATTGGCTGGGAACTAAAAACATTACGCCCCTTCATCCTTCTAAGCAATATTTGATTGCTTTGCAAATTCTCCAGTCCGGTTCTCTGCTAATGGTCGAGCGGGAATAGTCCTGGATGGAAGTTCACGCGAGATTTTAGCCACCCGACACGCTGCCCTAGAAACCAGTGAAAGCTTACTATAAGAAGGGCCCTACCGATCCTTCCACCCCTGCCAAAGTGCACTCGCTGAATACCCAGAACTTTGCGTCCAGGGCGGGGATTCTAAGCAACTTCCGGCTAAAGGTGCACCGGTATCCATTGGCCTGAATGGAGTCTTTTCGGAGGTTTTGGAAGATCATCCTTGCTGTTTTCCCTGTCTTTTTACTCTATCAGTTCGGCTTCCAAGCTAATTTCAGTGAACTTGGTAAAACTACATCTGGCCAAGTTACATCCCCCGCCCCCGCCATGGAAAACATTTGCCCTATCTTCCCATTCCCTCTCTGTAAAGCTTAACACTTGATTGGCATTCACGGCTT